GCATTTATGCATTTCCCAATCATCATCAATATAATGTGTAGTCACACCCAAATAATACAAATGATGATGAGTATCCTCCCATATATCACTACAAATACTAACATGTCCATTAAAGTTTGCGAAAAACATTTGTAAATTTTCCTTTTCCAAACCATATTGCCTTATAATTTCTTTTTAATCTTTTTGCGACTATAATTTCTAAATTGAGGATTTAAAGAACCAGCCGCATAAGCTTTTAAAGCAAGACTCCTAGAAAAAATATAAGGTAAATAATCTTCAACAATTAAGTGAGACATAGCAGTCAAATGTTTGGAATCATCATAGGAAAAGTTACCATAGGGTTGGTGTTAAGACACAGGGGTTCCATCCTAAAAGGTCAACCTGATAGGAGGAGTAGTCCACATATTAAAATATCACTTTGTCGATTCAAACCTTTTCGGTGTGGGATTCTAACACCCCTCCTCACGACCAGACACTTCGTCTGGATCGTGTCGTCATTCATTTTTTTCGTCGGTTCGTCATTGTCATTTTTTTCATAATCGTGTCGTCATTTTTCATAGGAAAAATTGATAGTAATAATCCAAACTATTGGCGGTCCGCTCATAATAATCCCAACTATCAATTATTTCAGAATAATCTCAACTTTAGGGACCTTCCGCCAATAATGGTCCGGTGTGACTGGCTATATAAATTCATATAGTTTCTAAAGTGGATGAGAAGAGATATAGCAGGTAATCCCTATTAATAATCCCAACTTTTAATATTTCTATTTAAAATTCACATGTTATAACAAGTAATTTCTGGTCATGGACCATTATTGGCGGAGGGTCCATATAGTTGGGATTATACAAAAATAATCAATAGTTGAGATTATTGTCAGCGGACCGACAATAGTTGGGATTATTATTTTTAATTTTTCCTTTTTCACAAGGGGCCCCACACCATGGTTATGGATCGGTTTGGCTTTGATACCATGTTAAGAGTTGGCAATTGCAAACCTCGATATTTGAGTTTGCTTCCCCTTGCCTTTTCTAATTTCGCATACTCCACGGGTGACATGCCTTAATATATATGTCGTTGCGCGCCGCCGTATCCTCCAGAAATCCCCAAACTAATATGTTTCTTGCAATGATTGCAAGTTCCGTACCATATCTCGGTTTGGGATGAACAAGCTAAGCCTTGTCCTCGTCGTGGGTGTCATTGTCAAGGGTGCCGTCATGCTCGTCCTCGGCCGTCGCCAGATCATCCTCCTCGTCCTCATCCTCGAGCTCTTCCCGTTCCTCAATGTCGGGGATGTTATGTTGTTGCAAAAAGCGTCCATCCCGTTGATCCAAAAAATGTTGTAGTTGCTCATCCGACATCACATTCAAATCCCTCCATTGGTAATCCGTTTCAAAATCATCTCGGCTTTGAGAAGAAGACCCGATATGTCCTTTACCTTTGCGTGAAGTATGATGATTCCTCCCAATCTCCTTCTTTCGGTTGCGTTGGAGGTTACCCATATCTACAGAATGTCTACCACGTTCCATCTTAAAATGTAACAAATATTATATTCTAACAAATATGTTAATATGAGTACAAAAAAATGCAACTAATAACAAATGTGATTATTTATTAAAATGTGAGTAGTAAAAGTAAAGCAAAATTCCAAGTAGTTTAATAAATACTTTATAAAACTAACAAGTTTAATAGTTTAATTAACTAAAATTGCAACTAGTTTAATAATTACTTCAATTTAACAAGTGTAGTAAAATTAACTAAAAATGAAACTACTAGTAGTTATATTAAAACTACTTTATAAAACTAACAAGTGTTAATAGTTTAATTAATTAAAATTGCAACTAGTTTAATAAATACTCCACAATCTAACAAGTGTTAATAGTTTAATTAACTAAAATTCCAACTACTTTAATAAATACTTCAATCTAACAAGAGAGTAAACTTAACTAAAATTACTACTTTAATAGTTTAATTAACTAAAGTTCCAACTACTTTAATAGTTTAATTAATTAAAATTTCAACTACTTTTATATTTTGATCTAACAAGTGTAGTAAACTTAACTAAAAAAGGAACTACTTTTATATTTGAATCTAATGAGAATGTAACAAATATCAAAGGTGACCAAATGAGAAATATAACAATTAACTAATTATAATACTCTGATAGGAAAATTGTATGAATGTGTATATTAATTAATGAAAGTGTGAGTGTGTAAGTAATAGGATAAATTTAACTAATATTGATTAAAGTGTAACTAATACAAAGTATATAATATACTGTTTATAGTATATTGAGTAGTACACTTATATTAATACTTTAATATATATATATATATACTCAATATATTAATTGGATGTAATATATGTAAATACAAGTAAATAGCAAGTATATAATAAGTAGATATTAAGTATGTATTAACTATTAAGTATATATTAAGTAGATAATAAATATGAGTAGATATGATATACGATGGTATGTATTCATAAGTAGATAATAAGTATATAAGTAAATACAATAATTGTATAACTAATATATAATATAATGTTTATAGTATATACAGAGTAATATATAAGTATACTACTATAAGATAAGTAATACACTTATATTTAATACTTTAATATATATATATATATATATATATATATATATATATATATATATATATATATATATACTTAATATATTAATTAGATGTAATATGTAAACATAAGCAAATAACAATAATATAATAAGTAGATATTAAGTACTACGTAGATAATAAGTATATACTCCCTCTGTCTCGCTAAGAAATTCCCGCTTTCCTTTTTAGCAGTCCCAAAAAAGAAGTTCCTCTTTTCCTAAATGACAAGTTATCTACATCCAAATAGTGCAGAACAGTGTCAAACATTGTCAAACAATGTCGAAACAGTGTCAAAACAGTGTCAAAACAGTATAATTTATCCCCTGGTAAATTTATTTCTTTAATATATGTGTAAGTCAAACCGAGAACTTCTTAGCGGGACGAAGGTAGTATTAAGTAGATAATAAACATAAGTAATATAATATATGTATTTATAAGTAGATAATTAATATATAAGTAGATATAATAATTGTATGAATAATTTAAATAGATATGATATATTTTTTTAGATGTAGAGAGAATTGGAGAAGATGAAGATGGAGATTATTAGAGTATTAGAGGCTAGAGTAGGAAGAGTTAGAGAAGAGGTGTAGAAAAATGTATAGAAAATAGGAGTATATATAGATTTTTTTGTACCCCACCCCTCTCCCACCCCACCCCTCTCCCACCCCAACCCCCCTCTCCAACGGTTATAGAGCCGTTTGGGACTTTCTCAACGGCTAGGAGGTTGTCAAATTATTTTTTTAAAAAAATGTTTTTTTTTTAAGTGTAGCCGTTACCGACCCGGACCGGTTCGGCCCCTCTTTTTGCAATCCTGCAGCCCACCTTTACAACCCCCCGGTTAGGGCCCAATGGACCGGTCCCGGTTGGTGGGCCAGTACTAAACAGTACCGGGCAGGTTGAATCGGGCCCAATCCATCCCTAGTGTCACGGGTCCTCTTTTCAACATTGTAGACTAGGTTACAACTATACTCACATATAAAGCCCGTTTGGTAACATTGAAGCCGGCTGAATCGGGTGATTCTGCTGAAATTTATAAAGTTCTAGGTGAACTGATTGCATTGGCCGATTTTGATGATTTATGAAAAAATTATATTTAAAATACATTTTCTTAATAACATAAAGAAAAGTTTACATAGAAAAACGTAGTAGCTAAAATGGTCATATACAGTATTTTTCCAATACAGTCACAAAAGTAAGTTCAACTTTATTTGTTCTTATCATTACACAATTCAGCACGAGCTAGGAAGCACGGAAACTCTCCATGTCTCACGTTTCCACGTTTTGGAAACTCGGAAGCGTTTCGGAAACTCGGAAACTTCAAATTCCCGTTTCGGGGCCGTTTCCGTGATTAAGAAAAATTTGGAAACCCGTTTCACTACGTTTCGGAAACCTCGAATTACATTTTTTTTCTTTTTCAAAAGATTCTGCGGTTGAAAATAATTTTTTTATAGTGAATTTTTGTGGTATTTCTCAGCGACAGCACTTGTTACATTTCGTAATGCAATGTATTGCTAGAAATGTATTACTCCATACATTTTATGTTTAATTATGTACTAATATAAAATAATATCTAAATTCGAACGTGTAGAGTGATTTTATTATTTGGTTACTAAACAAATTATATTAAAAAAACATGTGCATATGGAAAAACTTGTGTACATATATTAAAAAATATTTATAAATATATCCTTATATTTTATAATATTTACGCGTTTCCCCCACGTTTCGTGTCCTATATTTTTTAGAAATTACGTTTCTCGCGTTTCCCGTTTCCCGTTTCCGTGCTACTTAGAGCACGAGAAATCAAAAATTATGTGTATGATTAAAAAGTTGGTTGATTCTGTTGATTTAATAAACAATTATTTTTAAAATATATTTATTAATAAAATAAAGAAAAAATTATATGTAAAAATAGCTAAAATGGTCATCTACAGTACCTTCAGCCAAAACAGTTAGAAAAGTAACTTCAACCTTATTTTTTTTGCTTATTACACAACTCAACACGCGAAAGTAAAAATTACGGTGAAAAAGTTGTTTGATAAGCCGAAAAATAGTGCAGCCAAACCGCCTCAAAGCTTTAAAACACACTAGCGAGTTCAGGTATAGGCCGTATAGCCACGACATTGTTTGGTGAAAAAAACGAAAAAACTAATGAGACTAAACTCGATCAAGAAAAAAGTCAAAGATCAATGCTAATCAAATAAATTAGAGCATTGTTTACAGCACAAAATCTGTATCGAGACGGGAGATTACATGCGTTTCGGTAATGAAAATGTTTGACTTACTTCACACACTTTAATTCACTAACCACTAGCGTACGGCGGGTAATGTATCTCCAAAGACGCCATTAATGGTGTTAGTAACACGCTAACACCTTCATTAACTGGGCATTCAAAAGTTTCTGCTCCCTTTATAAGCCCCCCCTTCCCAGCCTTTCTTCTCTGACATTCAAACCCGCACCGCAACTGAACTGCCAGTTGAACGGATAATTCTCCGCACCTCATCTCTCTCGCCATGGATGCATCTGTAATTACTTCAAGCTCCTTCTCCAGTTATATACATACTTTTAAGTTTTAATCATTCATTCATCTAATCTGTGTTTCATTTTCGTTGTTTCGTATATAAAATATCCGAACAGGACTACGGCTACTGGACCAGGAAGAGCCATGTTCCGGCGTTCGGAAGCTGGGACTGCGACGACGATTTCCCCATTCCGTTCACTCAGTGCTTCGAATCCGCCACCCAGGCCGGCCTGCTCCGCTATGGCTACGCGGAGGACCGCGATTTGTACGTCGCTAGAGATCTCTACGACAACCGCATCGGTACTCCGGCTATGATCGTCGTTCCTCGCCGCAAGGTATTTATTTAGTCCCTCTCGGAAAAATTCGAAATGTTGTTTTCCTATTTTACGCCCTAATTTCTGGAATCTGTGGCGGGCGGGCGGGAACAGGGGAAAGTCGGGCCGTACAGAATACGAGAGAAAGGTCTGGAAGCGGCGAACGATGCATGGGTGGTTTGCGGATGCGATTGTGAGTCTGGTTTGAAACAATGCTCAGCCGCCGCGTCGCCGCCGCTGCCAAGACGGGCGCCGAAGGCGGTGGACGAAGATCTCTACAAAATCTCTCCGGATCTGCTCTGCGTCAAGCCCAAACATGTACGGCCCATTAAACTTCACAACACTATCATCATACCATATCATTTTTTATGATTTTTAAAAGTTACTGAGTTGTAATCTCAAAATATTTGTTTGATTGGATGGTGTTTGTACTCTGCAGGAGAGAAGGGTATGGGGATTTCTTGCAAGCTGCCTGCAACCTTCTTGTGTATGTTGAAGCAACATTGGGAGATGAGTGAAAGATGGATGCAGTTCATGAGTTGATAGTACAATGGGGAGGGCTAGCTAAGTCATTGGGAAATGCAAAAGAGAGGGGGGAAATCATCATTATGAATATTATTATTAGTATTGTAGGATAATAATGATGATGATGGGATTGGAAAGTGTTTTTTGTTGCAAGAATGGTGAAAGTGCAGTAGTAGTTGTAGTAAAGAGTAGTGGTAGTAGTAGTGTGGAAAGAGGGTTAAAAGCTTGATGGGAACAGTTGGGGTTTTTGGGTATGTACTGCTGTGTGGACCTAGAAAGGTGAGATTTTGCTTGTGATGAATAGTAAATGAAAGGCTGTTACTCTTACCTAATGGGTAATTATTATGGAGCTATATGCATTTTGCCCTAGAATTGTTACACTGTTTTGAGCCTCCCTTCCTCTTCAATCACCTTTTATGATTGAGACAAAGCACATAACTGACCAACCTATGTTCCAACAGGGAGTTGACTACCAAATAAATAAGGATATGCGGATTGTCCTTCACTCCGTAAAAATTGATACACCCGAGTTCAAACGCATAGCTTAGTTTTATTTATTTATTTATTTATTCATTTATTCATTCTTTCTTTCATTTATTTATTTATTTATTTATTTATTTATTTATTTATTTATTTATTTATTTATTTATTTATTTATTTATTTATTTATTTATTTATTTATTTATTTATTTATTTATTTATTTATTTATTTATTTATTTATTTATTTATTTATTTATTTATTTATTTATTTATTTATTTATTTATTTATTTATTTATTTATTTATTTATTTATTTATTTATTTATTTATTTATTTATTTATTTATTTATTTATTTATTTATTTATTTATTTATTTATTTATTTATTTATTTATTTATTTATTTATTTATTTATTTATTTATTTATTTATTTATTTATTTATTTATTTATTTATTTATTTATTTATTTATTTATTTATTTATTTATTTATTTTGTGGAATCCATTGTGTGGGAAAAAGTTTCGGTTACGGCGTTTTTTTGCTTTGACATTGGACTAGACTTTATTTCGTTTTAGTTGTGCATAAATGTCACAACATTATATTTTGTGTATACCCATGAGCCATTATTTCAACCAAAATATTTACTAAACGCTTTCATTTTGTTCATTCAGTCATTTATTTTATTATTTAATCTTCCCTTTTTTTTGCAATTTTATTGTTCACCATACACCGTCTTACAAATGCATGGAGTATAATGTTACTAAGTTTTAAATACGTCAAACTTTATTGAGGTGTGAGATATACCTCAAAATTTGTTCAACCAAAACATTTTTCATACTATCATTACTTTTGAAATAACCAAATAAGAATATTAGAATATTGTTCAACCATTTCAAAATTTCATAAGCACATTGAACTTTATATGCAGTAGACATGAGCAGTAGAGATTACAATATGAGTATTATACAGTAACAATTATTTGCAGTACACATGAGCATTAGAGATTACAATATGAGTATTATACAGTAACCAACATGTCAAATCTATATCACATATTTCGTTACTTTATAAACATTTAAATAAGAAATATATGAGTATCACAAACCACGTGATGAGTATTGTACCAATTTTAATGTAATATCATTTCATAACAAGCATCTTCTAAACACAATTGATTGCAGTAAACATATTGACGCTTATATGTACTTAACAAACACCTGTTGTCTTATTGTACTCGAAATATGAGCACAAGAGGGGCGGTAATGATCATTATAACATTTTAATAATCAATTTGACTTTTATCTAAATTATACTCTGTATATGTTTTTTCTCCAAAATAACGAACATGCAATTTTATTAACATAATGAGAACTAAGAAACAAAATGCAAATGTATATGAATGAGTATTACATACTTTTCAGATGCTTCAGCACTTTCGTGTTCTTCATGTGCATTTGAAAGCATGTTCCATTCTGAAACGAGATCCATAGCTCTGTTCGTTCTTAGTACTCAAAACCTAACACTTCGGAACTCAGATCTCCTTCCCCGTCTTCTTCTAGCTCGTAAAGCAACAACTCCGATTAACTGGTCACCATTAATGTCGAGATACAGATATGGCGGTGTAGTTGGGAAGAGTTGTGTCTCGTGCGAAGAGATTGCGGTTTTTGAGAGATTTGCAGTTGCTTTTTGTTTTTAAAAAAAATCGTTCATGTATTTTATTTTACCGCAACCGGGTATTTTCAAATTTTGGGCTTTTGGAGCACGGGCCAACAGTTAAGTAATTTAAAAACACTAAAATTGGGCCGGCTGTACGGTGCTCACCGTACAGCCGGATGTATGGTATACGAACCCGACGCAAATTAGACCGTACATCCGGCTGTACATAGGGCATGGTACAGCCGGGTTTTTTTGTAAATTATTCCAAGTTTGAGTCTAATCTTCGTCCTTCCCAGCTGTTTCGTCCTCTTCTCCCAACTTTCTTTCCTTCATCTGTTTCGTCTCTACCGCGACTCTCCCAGCTGGTTTCCGTCTGGTCATCGATCAATTGGAGTAAGATTTCTGTTGCCTTTTCTTTGCTTTTTATTATTTTATTCATTTATGTTTTCTTCCAATTTTGTATTGCAATGATAAATTTTTGTTTTTGCTTGTTTCCATCTTCTATCTTACTTTCGTTCTTCTTTTACAGTTTCTTCTCTTTGATGTGCTCCTCTTTATTATTTACTTCCGTTGATTCTTGTGCAGGTTTAGTTTTTTGAAGTTGTTCATTCAGTTCAGGTTATTGTCTTCTGAATTGCAGGTTTAGGTTTAGGTTATTTTCTTCTATCGTAGGAACAAAATAATATTTTGTTCATTCAATTCATATTTTTTTGTTGTAGCATTTGGGTTTATCCAAGATTTGATGCTATGTCTAGTTCTGGAGGTATTTTTTCAAGAAACACCTTCAATATATTTGATTTGTTTAGTTGAGTATTGCTTTACTGAGTATTGATCATCTGTACTTTGCTTTTGATTTGTCATCCCCTGTCAGATGGTATTTCTTTTAGTGGCAAATTAATAGAAGATATTGAGGCGAGAGGCGAACTTTTTGAAGTTGATTGTCGTAATGTTTTCTATCTTTTTAATTTACATAGTGTTGTTTTTTTGTCTGTGTTGTTTACTTTGAGATTTTGTTAGTTATTTGTGCATTTTTTATGTCTTCAGATTACTTGCATTCTGCTGATACCTTAAGTGAAGAAATTTTGTCAAGAACTGAATCTGTTCCTGTCCTACCAAGTATTGTGTTTTCTTACATTTTATTACTTTGTTAGGTTTTTCCCTATTCAAATTTTTAATTTTTTTTTTTTGCAGTTCAAAATTCTTCTACTTTTGTTCATGTAGATCAAACTGATGAGTCTGTGTGTTCTGAAAATATATGTGTTAAGGAAGCAGACATTTCTGATTTATTGGGTAAAACAGTTTTTTCGGAAGAAGAGGCATTTGATCTATATAATGACTACGCTTATAGAATTGGATTTGGTGTTCGCTATTCTACTTTGAGAAAGAGGAGTAACGGTGTTGGTTTTAGAGGAAGGGAATTTTGTTGTACGAAACAAGGTATGAAAAGAAACAAAGGTGTTGTAGGTAAACAATATACAAAAGTTGATAGACGAACTGGTTGCAAGGCAAAAGTTTATTTTGAGTTCAAATCTACAGGTGAGTTGGTTGTTGTTAGGCATGATATGGTTCATAATCACCAGTTTTGCCCGGAATCTTTAGTTCATCATGTTAGATCTCATCGTGCTGTTTCTTCAAGCGAGTTGGAGTATTTGCAACATTTAAAAAATAAAGGAGTTAAGATTGCAGATGGTTTTCGTTGCTTGCAAGCTGAAGCGGGTGGATCTCCTTCTGTTGGTTTTCTTTTGCGCGATGCTTATAATGAACTGACAAAAAAGTCTAAGAAATCTTTTGACGGTTGTGATGCAAATACATTGATTAATATTTTTAAGAACAGGCATGCAAATGAAGAAGACTTTTTCTATTCTTTTGAGGTTGATTTGGATGGTTCTCTTTGTAGCTTTTTTTGGAGAGATAAGAAAATGAGAGAAGATTATACTGCATTTGGTGATTTAGTTATTCATGATACGACTTATCGGACCAACAAATATGATATGATTTGTGGTCCATTCGTTGGCATTAACTCTCATACTCATAATTGCATGTTTGGTTGTGGTTTTTTATTGAATGAAAGAATTGAGTCGTTTGAATGGCTTTTCACTACATTTTTGCAATCTATGGGTTCTGTTCATCCAAGAACTATTATGACAGATCAATCGGCCGCTATGTCTGCTGCAATTTGTAAAGTATTTCCTCTCTCGAAACATCGTCTGTGTGTTTGGCATATCATTGAAAATTCAAAGAAACATATACGTGACTTGAGGAATCAAGAGGGCTTCTTAGATTTGTTTGATCATGTTCTGAAATTGTGTCACACCGTTGCAGAATTTGATCATTACTGGAATAGGTATCTTTTATTATGACTACATTTTGTTTTATCTTTTCATATTTTTATTAGTACTGATTTTATGAGCATTCTGTGTGTTAACAATGAGTAACAGGTTGTACGAATTGATTAGTTTTGTAAATTCATTGTCTTTTATTTTGTAGAATGATCTCTGAATACAATTGCTCTGATAATCCTTGGTTGAAGAAACTATATGAGATGAAAGAGAAATGGTGTCGAGCTTTTTCAAAAGAGTTCTTTTCAGCTGGAACCTTGTCTTCACAACGAAGTGAATCCACAAATCATTCTTTGTCTAGAAAAATGAATGCGAACTCGTCTCTTTGTGACTTTTACCATTTTTTCAGTGAGGCTGTCAGTGAATGGCGAAGTAATGAACGAAAAGATCATCAACGTTGTTGGGATGGTTATCCTGAAATTGCTATTCCCTATGTTGGTTTGTTACATAAGGCATCCAAGGTTTACACGATTGATGCATATAAACTCTTTGAAAAGGAATTTATGAGAGGTATGTCTCTTAAATATGAAGTTAGACATCATCAAGGTTCTTTAATGGGTTATTTGGTATGGATGCCTCAAATAGATCAGTTTTCTCATTGGGTTTCCTATGATATACCAACACATTTTGTTAGTTGTTCGTGTAAAAAATTCCTAGAGGTTGGTATTTTGTGTTGTCACATTCTTCGTATATATCATATTCACTGTGTGGAAGTTGTTCCGGATTGTTATATTCTGAAAAGGTGGACTCGTACAGCAAAGTGTCACGTAAATGAAGAAACTCATGATGTAGCTGGTACTTCTACTGTCTTGCCTTCTGTTTGGAGACTGCAAATGCAAAAGAAATATCACA